CCATATCATAATGAGAAAAACTAATAATCGAATTTCTAATGCTTTACTAACAAATTTAAAAGCATAATCTTTATCATCAATTAATAATCGATGACCAATATCAAACAAACATTGTGCTTGTTTTTCTTGCGAAGTTATTTTTGTTTCACATATTTCATAAGTTTTATCATAATGTTCACATGCCCATTTATAATCTTTTGTTTTCATATAAATCTCTCCAATATTAAGATGTTGTTCAATAATTTTCTCATAATTAAATGGTTGGTTTTTTCCAATGATTGTAATAATTTTAATTCATGTACTAATAGATTCTCGCAAATATTTTCCCTACCTTTTCTCTCTAGATAAAGTTTTTGCCCTTCTGAAGAAGTTCCAAAGAATAATTTAATTAAATCATTGTCCATAAATTCAGTTACTTTCTTTTCGTATATATTCATTCCTATCTTGTCTTTTATCTCAATATAACAACCTTGTATTACGATTAAACATTGTGTGTATGCTTTACGTTCTTTCCAGAATGTAACATATTTTCTTCGTAATTTTTCACTTTCTTGAAAATATACAATTGTTTGTACATAATTTCCATCATCTCTATATGTAAGACCTATATTTTCATATATTTGTGCAATTTTATCATCATGATGATTACATTTACATGTTTTCGCAGCATTCTGATAAATGTTTAATGCTTTTCTATAACAATTACGTGCAATTTCACTATTATCGCTTTCTAAAACACAAAAAACCCTGCATTATAAAACCAAATTGACAATGATTATCTGGTAGATTGATTTTATTCTTTAATATGTCGTAGGCTTTTTCAAAATATTGTCGAGCAATAACCTTATCTTCTTTTCCATAATAACAAGCAGCGATATCACTTGCCACTTTCGAAGCATCTTCCCATCGATTAGATGATGAGTAACGATCAAATGCTTTCTCATAGTTCAATATCGCTTGATCATATTCCTTTTCATCAGTGTACGACCAACTGATAAGTTCGTAAATTTTAGCCATATATTCATGTCCATTTCCATACAAATTAAAAAGACTTTCCAAATACTTTCGACATTTACTGTAATATCCCATTCTCAGTAATAATTCACCAAGTAATAGGTTCATCTCTGTTTCTGTACATCCCTTAAGTAATGTTTGTATATCATTCGTTAAAACTTCTTCAGATACAGAAGATAATTTAACTAACCATATTTTATCTTTTTCGTCATAAGTGACATTATCTATAGTAAATGATGCCCCTAAATCGAAGAGAACTTCTTGTTCTTCTGGATAATCACTATACTCAGCAATATCAACCAGTGCTGTGGTTAATTTTGTTGTGTCAACATGAATTTCAATGATGACAGTTT